CCGCTACTACAATAATGCTGGAGAATGTGTCAGTCAGTGTCCAAACTCATATTTTGTAGTAAGTATTTTGATTGAGGTTTGCTTGCTCCAACCTTTAATGGTTCAGTGAATGCGAAAACTCCCATAATGAATTAAGAAGTTTTGTTTTATCCACGCTCTTTGCTGGATTCCCACAATTTACTTCGAATGGCAAAATGTTAAACGCGTTCAGCGAAATTTGGAATTTGATCGTGATTTAAACAACTTCAAAACTTGTTCAGTGTCCCTACCGTACCTAGGCTATGTAGGCCTAGGCCTATATTTATAATAGTACAGTAGTAGCCTGGTAGTAAAATGCTAGCCTACGCTAGGTGACAGTTCACGAAGAAATGTTTATAATAAAGGCCTAAATTTAATTATTTATCTTGTTGGGGAAACCCCAATGTTTCTTGTATTTTAGTAGGCTAGGCCCTACCGTTACCTGTAGGTTTTATAGAAGAGAAAGCAATCGCCAGTAACATTGCTACCCAGATTATCTTGTGCGATGTTCGAATTGACCTATCAAAACAAGTACCTTTTGCCCAACGTTCTAATTCCCACGTGCCTGCACAGCCCGCACAATACAGCATGTAAACACTGACTTGGATCAGCCGCAGTTGAAGAAGTTCGTTGTGGCGATCACATGATGCCACGTGATATCGCACGTAGAACAACGTATGCTACGGCATTGTGTTTTACTGTGTAGGCTATATGAATTTAATACATGTTTGTATTATTATATATATTATTATGTTTTAAAAATGGTTAAACCATGACACATGTTTATATTGCTGAACAAGGCAGTCGGCTATTGCCTTCTTGCGGTGCAGCAGCGCGTTTACATTCCTGAAGGCGGCGTTCAAGGAATCAGATCAGACACTAGAGCGTTTACATTCGTTCCTGAGTTGGCGGCGTTTAAAGAGAAGACTACTGGATGTGATTGACCTTGTGTCTGCTTCTCTCATGCTTCTCCTGATCGTGGGAACCTACTTGTGTGGGAACGTTTCTCACTGAATTCACCGTTACTAGGCAATTTGCAGTAATGCAAACTGGTGGTATATGCCTATTTCAAACAGTTTATTTCCGTTCATGACAAAGTAAGAATAATATCGATACGAAACAAAGTGAATTGATTTTATTTTTGAACGCGACCGGTAGCGGCAGGATTTGGCAGACGGGGATACGATGTCTCCGACAAAAAATCACGAGGCAAATATTAAAACGGTGTAAATATTTATTTCATTTCCTTCTACTTAACTTATATACCAGGATGGTGTCCGGCGGGGGATAGTTTTTACTATCATAGTTTAACTTTTATCTATCAGAATCTAGCCCCGAATCCTAGACTCGTGTATTTAAAGCGGCTTGTAGCATGTGTATACAGCATATATTTGTATTTTTCGTCGATGGATAAATAAATATCCGAATATAAGAATTGAATACTGTTTTCTGTACACTACATGTTTGTTTGGGTCAGTTAAGAATTAGCACCTAATTAGGCCTATTAATGAAATACAACGGTACACGAACATTCACTTGTATGTTTTATTTATATTTTACATTAACATAGGCCTTTAACAGTCAATATTATTTTTATTTAACATAAGCCAATAAACAACTTCCACACATAAAATAACAGTAGGCCTAACCAATAAAAATATATAAAATACAAAACAAGATTTATGCAAGATTAAAAAAACTATACAGAAGTCTCCGCCCGGCAAGCAGACAAGGCCATACTTTAAACTGGCATCCAGGCACTCCATCGAACGTCCTATTGTTGGCATCTCAACTGACCCACTTTTGTCAGAGCGGCGCTCAAAGCGAATTTCTGTAGACCAAGGAGGAAAGTTCTTTCCTCCATGTATAGATCAACACCGGCCACACAGTCAGACATTCGTCACGTGATGTTGCGTGCTCTGTTGGACCGATCACATCCACACACACGAGGTAACCAATATTAATTGTACAGTAGTTGAATAGGCCTAGTTGCTGTATATAATATATATTAATGCCTACGTTTAATAATAGAGAAAATAGATGTTCTATTTTCTCTATAGTTTATTGAATGATGTTTGGCGAATACTGGCGTCCATTTGTGTTCCCACGTGATATGTGTGCAGGGAGTTGATAAATGTTTTTTCGTTCGTCGTCAGCTTCTTAGCTGGTAGGCTGCTATTTAACGAAGATAGGTCTTTCCGACAGAGCAAACGGCAATTAGGCCTACATGCATGTGCTGCCATTATCATCATTACCACTTAATTTAACTATTAGGACTATGCAGCCTTTAAACTTTGAACTTGGTTCATTTCAAAGTAAAACTTGTTCAGTATTTTAAATTGTACGAAAACGGTAGTTCAACCGGGGCCTGGTCTAACGACACAGACGCGTTTGTCGCCCAAAACAATAGAAACAATGGCAAATGCGTTCAACAGCACAAACCCGTTTAGACGCGTCTGGGACATATTCCGACTAGCTTATTAATATTCATGAGGCACGATAATTAGACGATCGCTTTCCCAGACGCGTTTGTAATACATGGTTTTCCCAGACGCGTTTCTGTCGTTGGGGATAATTTGTAGATCGCGCCTTACACAATATTATTAAATCCTTGCTCACTGATTATTTTGGTGCTTATAAAATGAATGAAAATTGTACAAAAATAAGAACCACTAGGCCTAGCATGGCTCCAGTGATGCTATGTTTTGCTTTGACTGTGGGATTGTGGCATCAAATCTGCATGCATGGTCAGTATTAGGTCATTATGTGACTGACCAATCACAGAAATTAGTTCAGCATCGTCAAGGAACAACAGAATTGTTAACACTGTTTAAACTTGTTGTAATTAGTTGAATTAAAGATGTATCATGACAATTGACCAATGGCATAAAAGCTTATAAAATACCATTTACAGTGGTACCAAATATGGAGTAGTTCACATTCAAAATGGAGACGTGTGCATATCATGTAAACTTGCAACTAAATGGTAAAAATACATCTTACAGTGAAATACACTCTGTAAATTGTATAAAAGTGTTCTTTTACCGTTAATTGGAATAATTTCAATTTAGCATTGTTCTAGATGACTTACTTTTAATTTAAAGTGTTAAAATAAATTTAGATTTTCTTTGAAATTTTCTATGTATAAAGCTTCAGGCCTGAATTTCTCCAGTTGACGATCTTCACCAAGCGACTGATTTGACTTGACCGCGCCACATTTTATTGTCATGATGTGCCTATACTGTAAAACCTCGAATAGAAGCCCAATGTGCTTAATCTTGTGTAGAAGCCAATCTCGTAAAGAAGGTCCCATCTTTAGTTTGCAAAAGTTATCTAGAGAAGGAGCCATTCTCATGAGCTTCTAATCAAGACTTACATTCTAAATGACGTTATCGTTAATGATTATGATAGCGAGTCAGTATCAACATTATTTTATTGTAGGTTGAAGCTATGTACCGGCTATTTAAATTCATTTCATTGAAAATTGTTAGTATAATTACATAACGCCCCATTATTTGTCATATTATGGTAATAGATTGTTGTTGGAATGTTTTGATCATCATTAAAGGCTTAATTAAGACAATTACGTTATTATTTTTTGTGAGGTTTTTCAGAAACTTCCTCTTTAGTTTGCAAAAGTAATCTCAAAAAGAAGCCCATCCAAAGGGTCGTAAAAAAATAAGCCCAGGGCTTCAATTCGAGGTTTTATGGTATATGATCATGATGTGTTTTTGTCATGACCATTTCTAGGTATGTCACATATTTTTGTCAAATAAAATTTGGTAGTCTGGTCTGGGCTTTAGAAACTTCTTAACTAGCTTCAAAGTAAGACTTGGTTTATATTATATTGAACATTGTTGGTATTTTGTAAAATTACTTGCTTTTCAATGGAGAAAAAATAACATAACATAGAAATTTAATATATGAAAATTTCTTTTCAGTGGCGAGACCATAGGTGTGTTAGCAAAAAACTTTGTTATCACGTTAATGGCTATTTAATGTCGGAGAATTTATGTGTGGACAGTTGTCCCAACGGGTTCATC